AATTTCAACAGTATGAAATATGCACATTTTGGATTCCTTAGGCAGAGCCTCTACGAGAAGAATCCCACATAAAAATCATATTTTCTTTCATAACAACTGCTCTCTGCCTAACAAATCTGCTTCTGAGGAAGCACTATTTTTTGCTGGGTAGATATAAAAAGATTAAACTTGGTGAGATTTTTTCGTAAAATTTAGTTCTTTTACAAAACTTGTTTGTACTGGATTTAACTTATACAGTGTGGAAATTTGTTTCAGATCTGTCGATCTCTTCAAAAGTTATAAGAAATAATGTACATAGCATACACATTTATATCTAAAATATGTTTAAGCTTTGAGAGCTTAAAACTCAAAACACACTTTTTCGACTTAGAATGTTTTATAATAGCTCTTCTAGAATTTAATTTCTAGTTTTCATTATAATATAAATTCTATTTTTACTGAATTCCAAGTTTAATATTAATTTCCTTTTTTCACTGTAAAATAAAAAAAAAAAATATATAAAATCTTAAATTTTTTTAATTTTTCAAAAATCGTCAGTTCCAAGGAAAAAATCGTCAAAGTGATTTTTGAAACGAAGAATCGTCAAAATGACGATAAATCGTCAAATCTGGCAGCTATGCGTACGATGTACGGCACTCGTACATGTGAGAGAGTAATTTCCCATATGTGAGAGTCGGACTACTTGTTATACTTTGGCTTCTAGATTATCTTTTAAAAAAATAAAAATTAAAAAAAATCATACCATTTAGGAAGTTATTCTTAAATATTCTTAACTTTTGTCAATGAAAGCAGTTCATAATATTTATGCTGAAACTTTTTTCTGTAAACAATCAATATAATAATGTTTAAAACCAAAGTATAACAAGTAGTCCGACTCTTTGAAAGCAGTATCTAACTCTAAGCATGTGTACCTAACTCTGAATTTGTATTAGTAACAAAAATGTACATGTAAGTACCCAGCAGTTCGGGCGGACAGTCCCGAACTCCCTATTTAGTCTACGACATAGGGTTACCCCTAGCCACCGACTGTCCAGGTGACTAGCTATTTTAACATGTGCTTGTACTACGAGGAATTCAATCGTCACCCCATAGGTTACAAAGAGACAGACAAGTGATTTTTAAGTGTCCCCTCTCTCGCTTACAAAGGGGACACTAAAGTGACGATTATCTTCACCCTCGTTTACAAAGAGTACATCCGTGACGAAAGACGAATTAGAGCCCACCAGGTGGTTTAACATAAGTGGAAATCACTGTCTTTTTCCTATGCATTGACTCTTTGTCGAACTGCAGGGTATTTGAGAATTTAAAATTTTCACCAGACACACATCATATAATTTTATTTGTTTGAATTTTCAATAAAAAAAATGTAACTCTGCTTGTAAATTAAAATCCGACCACTACAAATAATAAATGGAATAATAAATAAAACATAAAATTTTCGGTTTGCTCAAAATAAACGGAATTTTAAAGAAAATATTTGCTAAAAGTATTTTAGAAAAATTACTATTTCTCTGGACAGGTGAGAATTCGCGAAAAACCCGCTATTAAGTCGAATATGTAAATAGAAATTTTAAGTATTTTGACACAATAATATTTCTCACCAGGGTGTTGAATTCAGACTGGACCCGTAAATGTGGAGGTGTAATTTCGTTACGTGAGTTTCGGACTACTTGTTATACTTTGTTTAAAACTTTATTGACAATTGAAATTTTTACGGTTTTAAATTTGTATTGTATTTTATGGTGTAGTGTATTTTATTTTCTCCTGTTCTGTATTTTGCTAAAAAGAATATGTTCACCGTAACCATATGTGATGCACTCTCCTCTCTTTTTTCAACCGATCGTATTAATATATATATTGCGCACATCTACGAACAAATACCTTTAAAATTATATATTTTTTGTCAAAATCGGATGTATACTGTAAGAGTAAAAGGGGTCACAAAAAAATCGCTTTGTTTATTAATTATATAGATTAGTTAATCTTAATTTAAACTTCGCAGGTTGCCATACAAAATAACAGAAAACGTCACTGTTTGCTATCAAAAGAATGCATGTTTTATAGAAAAGAAGAAGACAATTGTAAATATAATATGAAAATTAATGAAAGCTTCAATTTAAAACAAAAACATCAATAAATAAAACAAATTTTATAAAAATAAACATTATTTTTATAAAATTTGTATTATTTTTTTACATCAGCTGTTTACACTTTTGCTTTTCTAGCTCAAGTTTAAACCACCTCTATTGGGCGCTTAAACTAGCAAACAAAATTAACTAACTGAGTACTCAAAAACGTTCGAGGCAATTTGGAAATGTCCCTCTATCAACCAAATGATGGCCAAATCATTTTTTCCTTTTTCAAAATTATAATAAAAATAATTTGTTATTCGGATACTTTTTATAATAATTTAAAATTTTATGTTATATGTACATGATACCTAAAAAAATATCTTTTAACGTATAAATGTTTAATTAAAGGAATATTGTGATTATTTTCAAAATACACAGAGAATTGGTTGTCAACAAAATTACTCGAAAATGTACAGAAGTTTTCACATGGGAATTAAATACGTAATTTTCTCATTTTAATAAGAAAACGAATCTTTCATCTAATTTTAATAAATTTCTTACTTAAAATCTTTAAATTTGGTATGTTTATATTTTATCAAAACAAATGCATAAAGATGGTCAAAATATTTTTCTGTAAAATATGTAAAAATAATGTTAATTCAAAAAATTGTTTTACTCTTTTCTTTATGTCATCTATTTTCATTTCCCAAATCTGGTCGCCTTAGATTTTATCCTGTTAAAAATACTTTCTGCGGTAGAATATTACTATTTCCCTCTTTCAATTGATAAAAAAATAGAACAAAATTATTTTTTTGTAGTTTTTAATATCTTTGTAAGAATGAAAATTTTTCTGTCAAAAGATAATAATTGAGTGCTTACAAATTTCGTAAAAGGTACCATAACTTTTTATGTGTTAAATATAATTAAAATTTAATTTTTGCATAAAATTCTTCAAAACAGTCGCTTTGTGAAATTATATAAACATTTTATTAAAATTTGTTTACATAATTTTTTCTAAAAACAAAATTCAAAATCTTATAAAAGAAAAAATCTATCTCTATTTTTTTAATTTTTTTTATTATGTGGACACATGGGTTTTCTACCCTTCCTGAAAAATTTAGATTGGGATTCCTACTAGTTTTCGTGATATGACCAAAAATGTCCATGTATCGTTAAAAAAATTTTGTTGAGTTGAAAAATATAAAAATTAATTTTAATATTTTGATAGCTTTTTTGTAGATGTTTATGCACATTTTTGGTCATATCTCGGAAACTAGTAGGAACCCCAATCAAAATTTTTCAGGAAGGCTAGAAAACCAATGTGGCCACATAATATAAAAATTAAAAAAGAAAAAAAAAAGAAGATAGATTTTTTCTTTTATATGATACTGAATTTTGTTTTTTTTTAAATTTAAAAAAAATTAAAGGTAGATTTTTTTTATATGATTCTAAATTTAAAAAATTAAAAAAAAAAATAAATAAAATTCTTATATAATTTGACAAAACGATTGTTATGAAGAATTTTATGCAAAAAAATAATTTTAATTATCTTTAACAAAAAGTTATTGCACTTTTTACGAAAATTTTAACACAATCTTCAAAATTTAATTGAAAAATGTCAGTTATCACTCTCGTGGACCTTTATCTGTACCTCGTTTCTGTATTTTTCTCGAATCGAGAAAAAACTTAAAATATAATAGTCTTCCTGTTTTTAACAGTGTGACTCTGATTATATTTAAACTGTACACATAAAAATAGAATAAGAAATGTTTAAATTTCATGTATTCACCCTGTTTTACACAAGATGATCATGAATTTTTCGACAGTTTTTCTCGATGCGAGAAGCAGAAACGGGGCACTGTTTACAAAATTTTGTCCAAATCGGTGAATATGGGAAAAATCTTTTAAATTTAAAATTGAATCCTCACTTGTAAAAAGTAAGAGAACTGAAAAAACAAAATTAACTTTTCGAGAAACCGGCAGTTAATTTGTTTGAATAAACTTCAATACAAATTTATTACAATATAAATTTTGTTTTTGCTGTTCCCGTACTTTTTAGGGCCAATCTTTAGGTGAAAGATTAGCGATTAAATTAAAATGAATCCTCGAAAGATGTTTTTGAGTACTCAATTAGTTAATTTTGTTTCCAAGTTTAAGCGCCCAATAGAGGTGGTTTAATCTTAAGCACGAAATGCAAAAGTGTAAACAGCTGATGCAAAAAAATTAATAAAATTTTTATAAATATAAACATTAAAATGTTTTATTTATTGATTAGTATAAATTATGGACACTTCAAAATAAATTTTTTGTTTTTAATTTAAGTTTTTATTAATTTTCATATTAAATTTACAATTGTCTTCTTCTTTTTATAAAATATGCATTGTTTTGATAACAAACAGTGAAGTTTTCTGTTGTTTTGTATGGCAACACTGCGAAGTTTAATCTTGTACTCAAAAACATCAAAGGGGATTAACATAAGATTAAATTTATTTTTAGATTAACTAATCTGATTATTAATTGGCATTTGATTACCATATCAAAAACCCGCTCTTAAAAGTACCAGGAAAAAATTAATTAATTTTCTTTTACCAGAAAATTAGGTTATATTAAGAGGATTCATGAAACACGTGTGCAAACTTGCACATTTGCGCAAATGGCTATCTGCATAATTTAGAAGAAAAAAAAATAATTTAAAATGATCAGTTCAAATATGCGATCAAATATATCAGTGTTGTGGAAGTAAAATCCCACACAATTTGTGACAAATTCAATGTAAAATTTAAAATGCACAGATTGCACAGTTTGCGAGACTTTTGAACGTTTATATGAAAACCCTATTAAGTTTTTATTTTATTTAGAGATATAATTAAATAAATTAATTTAAATTGGATAATAAGTAATGTTTAATAATTGTTTTCTTATTTTCAGACTTGTTCCAAATATTGTATTGCTTTTCAACGTATCTAATGAGACAACATGCTCGGGCCAGGATACAAACTTTTTAAAAGAAGAATTGTTGCTTTTGGTTCAATCTATTTAGGACTAAAATGACTTAAGAGCACCTTAATGTTGCATATGCATACATATGTATGTACATTAGATTTTGCTCAGCTGGGTCTTATTTTGTTTATTAGTATCTAAAACTTACTGGTGTAAAATTTTGAAAAGTGTAAAATTGGTTAAAAATAGGACTTCAAAAATCATGACATCTAATTCATAAAAGATAAAATCTTATCTTTTAGGGAAAATTGTTCTAACAATAACAAGGTTAGTGACAATTTCCCACGCTACATTTTCGAAAAAACATGAATTTTTGAATTGTTTTCTATTTACAGAAAAAATATACACAAAAATTTTAATAAAAAAAAATCGTTTTTAATTAATGTGTGATTTTCTCTAGAAGTTAAGAATTCATTTAAATATTAAACAAATATAATTTAAATGGCATTATTTTTTTAAGAAATTAAAAAAAGTCCTATTATTTACTCAATTTAACAATTTTCGTTATGCTATTTAACTAAAAATTTACACAAGTAAGTTTTAGAAAATAATAAACAAAATAAAACCCACCCAGTAAAATGGATATTTTAGGACACCTCTATTGTACATACTAACATATGTACATGTACATATGGGCTAAACTGTAAACACGTAACTCTAAAACATGCATAAATATGTTCTTTGATCCTTTATATTACATGAATATTATATAAATTAAAATAAAAATAACTTAATGAATGATGTTACTGCATTGGTCCAATCTATCAATCTTTTCGTTTTTATATTAACACTTTAAAAGATCCACATAATTGTGCGATTTAACAAGAGAAAAGTACATATGACACATACCAATTTTGAAGGACTTTCATGTGGCAATTCATATCGATTATTAACTTTATAACAAAAAATCATAATCGAGCGTGGCCGGCCATATGATACCCTACACCAGATATATATTTTGGGGGTTTTAATTAGGATGGCGGTTTGTTTAATTGCGTTGTGTATTTTGTTTTTTTTTTTTGTGTATTTTGTTTCGTATGTTTGCATGCTGTTGGTTTCATTGCGTTGTGTATTTGTTTTTTTTTTTTTTTTGTGAGTTATTTTGTTTAACGTTGTTGTTGTTCCTTTTGTTTTGCTATTGCTAAAGAAATGATAGAGTCGGGAAAATTAAATAAATTGAGTTTTTATAAATTCAATATTTTTAAATACACTATGGTGGAGGGTATATAAGATTCGGCAAAGACTTCTTACTTGTACTTAATACAAAATTGTTCAAAAACTGATTTGTTGAAAGATGCTTGATATGGGGGATATAAATATATTATATTATTATAAATATTACCATAAATCCTTTCACCAAATTTTGCGGGGATTGGCCCTTATTTAACCCTATTCCCCATATAAAGCATCCTTCAGAAAATCAGTTTTGAACAATTTTGTATTAAGAAAAAGATTAATAACGTCGTCAATAGTTAACAAAGTTGCGTTTTACTCATGAAGAGACATAGTTTTTTATTACATTTATAAATAGTTCGGTTCATATAAAATACTTTGTAAAAACATATCCAAATTTGGAAAATGGTGCAAAAATAAAATCAAAAATATGTTTGCCTACACTTACGATACAAAACATCCAAGTGGCAGAGCCTGTGGTGGAACAGCCATATTAGTGAGAAAAAATATTAGACATTTCCCAATGCCAGAATACAAAAAGGACCATATCCAGGCCACCTCTATAAATATACCTGATAGCAGAGTTACAATATCTTCAATATATTGTCCTCCTAGGTATAATATTAATCGAGAGCAGTTTCTCGATTACTTTAAAACTCTTGGACCAAGATTCATAGCGGCTGGTGATTATAATGCAAAACATACATTTTGGGGCTCTCGCCTCATTACTCCCAAAGGCAGACAATTGCTAGAAGCAATATCGCATAACAGACTAGATGCCATATCTAGTGGCCAAACTACCTATTGGCCTACAGACCTCAATAAGATTCCCGATCTAATTGACTTTGCTGTAATCAAAAACATAAAACGAGAATTTATTTCAGTGATCCCTTCACTGGACCTCTCGTCAGACCACTCGCCTACAGTTTTAACGTTATTAGAAACCCCAAATAAATTGGAAAACTATTGTTCTTGTTTCCCTAACAAGATGACGAACTGGTTAAAGTATAAAATGTATGTCAGCTCACACTTGCCACAAAACATTTCATTGAAAAATGACCATGAAATACAATCCGCTGTCGATATATTTACGGATATCTTACAAGGTGCTGTCAAAGTTTCTACACCCCCAGTCACCTTGGGATACTACAAAAATTCGAAATGTCCTAGGAACATTGAGTCTCTAATTAAAGAAAAGAGAACACTCAGGCGTCAATGGCAACAATCGCGATCTCCAAACATAAAGGTTAATCTTAATCAGTGCCAAAGAAGACTTCACATCGCCTTAAAAAATAATAAGGAATCTAATCTGAGAAATTATCTCAAAAACTTAGACCCTACTAAGAAAACAGAATATAGTCTCTGGAAAGCTGTTAAACATATGCAATGCCCTATTGCATATGAGTCACCCATACGCCTCCAGAATGGTCAATGGGCAAAAAAATACGTCAGAAAAACTTGAAGCATTCGCCAATCACTTGGAGAATGTGTTTACTGAAAATGATACAGATTATTCTATTAGTGCTAACATTATAAATAATGTGGTTCCACGCCCAATAAAATTCCGGTTCTCTACCGTGAAGACGACAATCGAAGGTCTAAAGGCAGGAAAATCACCTGGTATAGATAAAATTACTACCACGATGATAAGTAACCGGCCTAATTCAGCACTGAGAATTATTTTGTTCATCTTTAACTCGATGCTACGTATTGGATATTTCCCTACCTCATGGAAAGTATCCGAAATTGTTATGATACCAAAACCGGGAAAAGATGTCACTCAAGTAACATCATACCGTCCCATTAGCCTGTTGTCTATATTCTCAAAACTTTTTGAAAAGTTATTGCTTGAAAGCCTTATACTACACCTTAACGATAATTGCATTATTCCTGACCATCAGTTTGGTTTCAGAAGAAAGCACAGCACTATCGAACAGGTACATCTAATAACTACTCTTATTCGGAAGGCCTTCGAAAGCAAGCAATATTGCTCAGCATTATTCATAGATATTTCTCAAGCTTTCGATAAAGTCTGGCACGATGGACTAATACACATATCACATTACTACCTGCGAATGTTCACAAACTGCTTAAAAATTATATATATGAAAGATCTTTTCAAATCAGATCTAAAGATGTGATCTCTTCACGTCGAAAAATATCTGCAGGAGTACCCCAGGGGAGTATTCTAGGTCCGTTCCTATATATTTTATATACTGCAGATATGCCAACGAGCGCACTGACTCACACATCTACATTTGCGGATGATACCGCTTTTGTAAGCATACATGATAACCCTTCAATAGCTTCTGAACAACTCCAGCTTCACATCGGCGAATTGGAAAAGTGGCTGGACAAATGGAAAATAAAGGTCAATGCAACAAAATGTACTCACGTTACATTTACTTTAAGACGAGAAAATTGTCCTCCCGTACAGATAAAAAATATAAAAATTCCTGAACAAAGCCATGTGAGATATCTTGGTATCCACCTTGATCGCCGCTTAACATGGACTCACCACATTGAAGCCAAGGTTACACAAATAAAATTAAAGTCAGCTCAAATGTACTGGCTAACCGCAAATAATTATAATAACTCTCGTCCGAGTTATTATAATTATTTGCGGTTGCGGAGGAAATGGAAAAGAAAGAAATTAAGAGGGGATTAATAAAAGATAATATTTCTTTCAATTCTATAAGAGAGTAAGGGTTTTTGGGGAATGAGGAAACTCACCTTTTGTTCTGCCGGGCTAGGAAGTAAAATAAGTGGAGTTGGTTTTTTTTTTTGTATTTTATTTTTTGTTCACAGCACAGAGTTAAATAATATTGAAGAGCGGGAGAATATTTTAATGTTTTCACAACGACTGATGAATTACAAGTGGCCGATTTATTTTAATTACAAGAAACGTGAAGCTTAGGTTTAGAACATAAATGGCTATTCAGCGAATATTTAGAACAAATAACAATTCAATTGTACCGAATACTAATTACTAATTACAAGATTACTTTACAATGTTAAGATAATACAGTTCATTTAATAATTCATAATAATTCAATTTATCTTAAATGCAAATAACCCTATAGTAATCAATTAATATAAAAATTCAATATAATATATAAAATTCATTTTAATAAAAATAATAAAATAAAAAAAAATAAAAATAAATATTGTCCAAGATTGGACATGCCGCCGGCCTTGGCTTTAGGCAACAGATGGCCCGTTAGCGTTAGTGCAGAGTACGTTGGCCAATGACTTTATAGCTTCAATTATTATTTGTTGATTTGGTGCTGTGAGCGTGGCGGACTGGGTTGGTGCTGGATGTTGAATGGCGGATAGAGTAGATTGGGCATTTTGTGGTTGGTCATGTTGTGGGCGATGGACGACTGAATTGACGTTTCGTCGCTTTCTTTTGGGTCGAGGCTGATGTTGTTGAGCTGCGTTGTTACCAGTGGTTATTCTTAGATTGGGTGAATGGAGTAAGGTGTGGTGAAATCTGTCACACCTGTGACAACTGGCCATTGAGGTGCATGACCGTACGACGTGGCTTTTAGCCAAACAATTAACACAATATTTGTGTCGAGTGACCACTTCTATCCTCCGGATAGCGGTCATGTTGAAGAATTTTGGGCAAAACCTTATGCTGTGGAACCTCATGCATAGCCTACATTGGTAAAGCTCTGGATCACGGCGGTTGTTGTGCTGATGGTATCGGCTACGTTGTCGATTCTGGCTTTCACTTGGACGAGAGGCGGTGGGTCTGCGGTGATGGCTGCGTCTTTGGCCGCTGCGTTCGGTTCTCCGAGTGGATTCGCTGCGAAACTCATTATGGCTGTGGTCTTCGCTTGGCCGGATAGCGCCTTGGTTCTCAACGCGGTTGTGGTCTTCGCTTGGCCGAGTAGCGGTAAGTCTTCGGTTGGTTCTAGGAGGAAAAAAAAGTGTAAGTAACTGACAAAACAAATGAAGGTGGATTAGTGCTGGGAAAATCAGGGATTGTTAAGTGTGAAAGTGTAAAAATGAGAAGTGTTAAATGAGAGATTAGTAAATGAAATGAGTTAAAGTTATTAGAGCGTGTAAATATAGATTGCTGAAAGAAATGTTGATATTTTGTAAATGGGATTAAAATTTTAATCTAAGTTAAAATTTCAATCATGATTTTCGCTTAAAAAGGGCAGGTAACATAATTTTACGATCGGTCGAGTAATAACTCCTGAGCTTATGCGAACGTCGGCTACGCGTACATTATTATCTGAACCAAAATAAGTTTGTTCGATTCTTCCTAGACGCCATTCGTAAGGCGGCTGAAGATCGTCCAATACAACGACAAGATCTCCGATTTTAAGATTTGTAGTAGAGTTTTTCCATTTATAGCGTTTGCGTAAAGTTTTAAGATTATCATTTTTCCAGCGTACTGAGAATTGATGATGCAAAGCTTTTAATTTTCCCACCTATTAATAAGAGATATATTTTGATAATCTTGTTCTGGGAGAGCCATTATCGGGGCTACTCTTAGGAAATGTCCTGGGGTTGGAGCAGTAAGATCTGAAGGGTCTTCAGATAGAGCTGAGATTGGGCGAGAGTTTAGTACGC